AGCAAAACATATTCTTGTAAAAATCAGCTCATGAGTACCATCTGCTTTGCAACAGGATCCTGGCTTAAAGTCTAGAATAAAAAGATTTTAATAAGGAGTTTGCCTTATTATTCAAAAAGCTGTATGCTTGTTCAATAAGTCTAAGGGTAGTAAAAAACAGCTTTAACACTCACCTTGGATTTTTAAGGCATACAAAGGTGGTAACATTTTAAATGTAACTTATTTTAGTGCAAAAAGTGGTATGTATCATCATTGGCAAAATGTGCTATTTTGGAAATGCATGTCTTTTTTTAAATAAATCACTCAAAAATGGTATTTTTTAAGATCAAGAAATCTTTTGAGTGAATCAGACTCCTTCCAGCACCAAACAAATTCTTTGAATTTACAATGCTATTTCTCCCAATGGATAATGTCACTTTGGCTCCTGATTTTGTAGAGAATGCTATATTAACCTTCCTTCCTAAAGTTATTGATCATCTGGGACATGATGTAAATCAATCTCATTATATATAAGAAAGATAAAGGGCATCAGGAACACATTTTGGTGCTCTGGTTTATTTACCCAGAAAAGTAAATTTAAAATGGTCATAGAGAACAGGAATCTGATATTTCTAGAGAAGTGGCATTATATATTCCACAGAATATGAAAGTCACATAGTTACTAGGAGATCTGAGAATTATTTGCACCAACCCATAAAGTAAAGCCCTAAAGGGACAGTAGGCAAATTTGTGTTGAGAACATACAGATATTGTCAAATGTCAACCTGAAGAAAGGGAATCAATATTACTAGGTATCTACAGTTGCCAGACATGGGAAGGTGGTAAATTTACTTCATTTAATCATTACAGATAGTTATTGTATCATTCTATACCACTATCCACCTATTTTTAACTATTTGGCTTTCATTAAGCATTCTAGTTGAGGAAGAGTTCTACTAATGAAAGTGAGAAAATCATGTGTACCTACTCTTTTCATTAGAAAACATACTTCTTCCTTTGTTCTTTCTAAACTGTGATGAAAACGCATCATTATCAAGTCATAATCTAGGTAGACAGCTTAACCTCATGGGAAGGAATAAATATTGACTCTGTTTTTGTTATATCTCTTGAGAATCTGAAGGACTTAAGGAAAAAAGCAGTAATGTTTTTCCATCTTTACTCAGTTAAAAATTTACATTTGTAAAAGGAAGTAGGCTATAAGATAAAACTGGATACATAAATGTTATCAAAAATAGATTTTGGCTTTGAGGCTATGACTTTGATACCAGAATGATGAAGTCTAGAAAAGGGATAGAGTTCACTCTTATAGACACTAGGGAACATTACATAACTCCACAGAATTATCTCAGATAACTCCCTGCTTCACTTATGCACAGTGTGCACATTATTCTGTGATTTTATGTTAATTAGTGCTAAATTTTAATTAACTAAGTATATAAGACATCTTAGGGCTTAGCATGAACTCAAAGTGCCAGTGACACACTAACTAAACACTAACCATGCTTTTGCCTTAGAATTCCTGCGTCAAAGACAAGACCCAAGTTCCACGATGGAAAAACCATACGCAAGTTAAAGGATCTCATGTGACATAGTTGAATTCCTATGCGGTAGGGATAGAGTAAAATTTAAATCTCTGATATTCCAAATTGCAAAATTAAGACAAATGTTTTGAAACTCTAGGATGGAAGATCTGACCCTGTAGTAATTAAAGTGCTCCAAAAAGTTTCTGAGATAGTTACTAAGACAAAAAAGTGAATATGGAAAGAGAACCAAAACCAAACCAAACAAGCAAGAAATGATCCACATTTGCCTGTGAAGAAATAAAAGGTACAATACAGTGCTTTATATTATTATTATTATCATCATCATCATCATTGTTATTATTATTTGAGAGAGACAGCACAGGGCAGGGGGCAGAGGGACAGGGAGAGAGAGTATCCTAAGCAGGCTCCATGCTCAGCGAAAAGCCCAATGAGGACCCTGAAATCATGACCTGAGCCAAAATCAAGAGCCCGGCACTTAACTGACTGCCATTCAGGCACCCCAGGAAAATTTATTTAGAGAATGAGGTAAGGAGAGCCTCTTTGTGGTAGTAAAACTTAAGCAGAAACCTATACACAGGAATAAGCCAGAGAAAGATCTGAGGGGAGAGAGAGAGAGAGATCCCAACACAGGGCTGGCATGAGGATGAGGTTGGCACATCCAGCAAATGGCAAGGTCAGTGGTGGGAGCAGAGCAAGAGGAGGGGGCAAATGGGGGAGCGACTGATGAGGTTGTGAGATAGGCAAAGAAAAGATCATATGGGTCCCTGTTAAGAAATGTCTAAGGTATTCTGAATTCGATGAGGATCTACTGGAGAGTTTAAGCTATGGAGTGTGGAAAGAAAGAAAGAAGAAAAGAAAAGAAAGAAAAGAAAAGAGAGAAGAGAAGAGAACAAAAGAAAACAAAAGAAAAGAAAAAAGAAAAGAAAAGACGAAAAGAAAAGGGAAAAGGAAAAGGAAAAAGAAAAGAAAAAGAAAAAGAAAAAAAAAAGATGATGGCTTATGTTTAATCTCTTGATGACCTTGGAAAGGAAATCCAAACAGTAACTCAGCAAATTAGATTCCCAGTGATATGCTCTTTACTACTTTTCCAGTTTTATAGTAAACCTCTTCTTCCTCCTCTTTCCTTTTGCTTGTTCATCAGTATGAACATGTGCATAGTCTGTTTCCTCTATTTAGAGGGACCTCCTTTTTTGTCTTCAGGGTCCAACAGAGATTTCACCCTCATGTTTCAGAACGTGTTCTTTGAAACATTTCCTCACACTTCCAGAAAAAAGAGATCTGACCACAGAATCACATATAGGATAGAACTTCTCTTTTCTGCTACCTTACAGCACGCTATTTTATGCTATGTTGTCTCAGTGGCTACTGAATGGTGTGATTCTTCTCAACTTTACTAGTTCTGAGAAAATTAACAGTATGTAAATTACTGAGCTAAACTTCTTAAATTAAACCCATATCACTACGAATATCACTTAGAATATTATGCTTTTCGAAACAACTAATCCATGTTTATAATGAAGGAATTTAGTTTTTTACAACAGACTCAAAGCATGTCTAGAAATGGGCAAAGAAACCAATTATAAAAGTCACATGTTCGAATCACAGTATCTAAGGTGCCAAAAACATTACCTGTACACAAAATGGTCTACCTTGTGCGTGAAATAAAACAGTATCTTTGAGTTGAGCTTATTCCATATTAAAGCACTGAGTTGGACTGATTAGGAAAAGGAACTACTGAACTTCAGGAGCTCAATCCACCTAGGATATTTCAGGCTCAGAAATTATTTCGTAATTCTACCCAACTTCCTTTGGGATTAGGTAGTTAATCAGTATCATCACCTGGAATACAACCCACATAACTCCCGGTATCTTTCATTTCACACTTCTAAGTCTGAAGGTGAATACTGTGAAAAAAAAAATACAACTTCAACCTCTTCTTTAACTGAGTTTATATGAATTAAGGGTATAGGGCTATATATTAAGTAAATAATCAATACATCAACTGGGAAAGTCTATTCTTTCTGAGGATGTAAATGGTATATTACTTTAAAGTCCTGTCAAAAACCACATTTTCCAAGTTTCCAAGTAACTCTTTAGGCGAATCTGGATGCCACTGCTATAAAAACACTTATACACATAGCTGAATTGAAAATCACTTCTCACAACAGATTTAATTCTGGAAACAAAGCCATAGAAAAAAATAACTTTCTGTAAACCGAATGAAATCTCAATGCACCAGTGCTTTCCTGACTTCATGTTATGACCTCTGACCCCCACATGAAGATAATTTTCCTTCATGAGGGGACATACTGCTTAAGAAAATACGTAATAACAAAATGTCACTATGAAACTAAAAGATATGAATTTGTAATTTTAATATGCCTATAGAGATGTCTACATACCTATAAATAGACTTGCAGTCATATTTGATGACTTATTCCCAGCCCACAGCCATAATGTCTAAGATACATGGGCCAGCGGAAATATAACAGTGTCTCAGAAAAGTCTATTTAGAAGCTTTAGAGTTTGAAAATCTGGAGTTCAAACACCAGTAAATTGAGGGAACTTTTAATTTGAACGTGGATCTTATCTAAATTGAACTATCATATTTATCAACAGCCTTCTCAAGAGTATTATATTAGATTTTAAAAGTAGGATACACTTGTTTTTCTAGCTGATTATTACCATTTCTTACTAGCTCAGCTAGAGAGATCTTCACAAATGCGTCCAACATACCTATATTCTTTCTCCTTTGAAGCATACCGCTATATTTTAAAATAATTAATGGCTATTATGCAAAGACACATAAAAATTCTTTTTGCTTCTATAAGCCCTAGAATTAAGGTTTACCTGAGGTTAGATTTAAGAAAGTTGCCAGAAACTAAACAAGCATGGATGAACTATGAAATTATATTACTCTTTCATCTGCCTTCTCTAGAAATGCTCTCTTTTGAACAGTAAATATTCTAAGCCCTTTTCTGAAAATATTCTGGCTGGAGGAAGACAAAACTGATTGGAAGATCTCCAAGGACCCTCCCAATGAAGATTTCCAGGGTCCATGGGCCTAAATTTAGGGCCGTCCTTCGCCTTATCTGTTTATGCTCAGTATTTATTCCATCATACTTGAATATGAATATTAATTATACTCCCGGAAATCACACTCTACAACGGACACTTGGGAGATTTCAAGGTCAGAATGAAACTTTCAATCTCAGGGAACCATAAAGTAATGCACTTCTTTTTCATTCTGCTCACATAAGGTGCCTTCTTTTTTTGGTATCTCTAAATGGACGTATACTTTCCTGGTTTTTCCCCAAATTTCGAATGAAATAATCCTCCCTAAACTGCAGTATCAGGTTCTAAGGTACCAGGAGCCTCACTGCCTCCGCAAGTCTGCAAACACACGGTTAACATCAACTCATCTATTGTCTTCTAACTAAAAAGAATCACTCTTACCGTGTAGCCCTCGGTATACTGAAAAGGAGCCCTGGAACTTTCATCTGCTGTTGGACTCAGAGGCTTGGGGTCAGACATGGACCGCTGCATCATCTTGGCTGTCTTAGGACTTGCTGGGGGCACTTTAGCCATGTCTGGATGCAGTACTTTCTGTGGACTTATCTCATCAGGGAGGGGTTTTTCATAAGGTACAAAGGCTGATTCTAAGGCTTTGCCTGGTGAAAGTGGTGAGATGGGTGAATAAAGGACTTTTGGAGATTTGGGTGGGGAAGGAGCCAGCTGTAATGTGGAATCTGCCCGAAGGTGAGATGAGTAACCAATCTCTAAAGGTGTTGGGCGTTTCTTGTCTTTGGGTGGAGAGGTGGCACTCAGATACTGAGGACTCTGTGTGTCTGAATCTGCTTCTGTTTGACATCCTAAGCTGCCCCCTTTGTAAGTCTTTTCAGGGGCTGAAATGTGTTTAATTATTTCTACCTTGGCATCCACGCGTGCGTGTACTGACGGTGTTCTTATGGTTCCAACGGGTTCAGTCTGCACAGAAATCTCGGCTACTGTCTGAACTGCTATACTGGCGACCTTGGAAAGGGGTTTGCTCTTGTCAGCATCCACAGTGCTGTCCCCGTACTTGCCTACTCGAGCTTTCCTCCTCGCTCTAGTAGGCATATCCCATTCATCCTGATCTTCATCATCAGTTTGGACACTTGTATCAACACTCTTTTTGGTTCTCCGCCTCCTACTCACATAGCTCCGGTCTGCTGCGTCCTCGTCGTCGGTTTGCACGCCGCTGTCCACTATCTTTTTAAAGCCGCGGGGGTCATCGGGTTCCCCCATTTCCTCATACTGTCCACGGGCTTTCGCTGCAGAACTTCTCTTTTTGGGCTGCTTCTCCTCCTTGACCACCACCTCTGTCAGAGGGATTTCTGAGACGGTGCTAAGGATGCCAGGTGGGGCGATGTACTGGGTCACACCATCAGACTGCATTGTGTACCAGCCCTGGCTCTGGGGAATTTCGATCGCCACGACGGCCGAGGCGGTGGTGGTGGCGTCCTCAGGAGCCCAGAACGCACTCCCTTCCGGGGCAGCATACTGCCCTTCCAGCATCGCCTGCTCCGTGGTCGTTTGGGGAGATGCAGTTCCAGAAGGGTCGTAGTTATACTGGTAGATCTGGCGAATCTTCTGCTCTTCCAGCTGCTGGTGAAGCTGCTGCTGCAGGTGCTGGATCTGCTCCAGCTGTAGCTGTTGCTGAGCTAAGGTCTCCTGCCTCATCATGAACTGGGCCTGCCGCTCCTCTTCTTGCTGATAGAGAAGGTGCTGCTTCATAGACTGCAGCTCCTCCAGCTTCTTTTGAACCATGATCTTTTCTTGTTCCCGGAACCTTTGAATTTCCTGACGCTCCCACTCCAGTTCCTCGGCAAAACGCTGTTGCTTAATTTTCTCCAGTTCCAGGAGCTCACGCTCCAAGTCGAGCTGCTGCTGCTGTTTATCTTCTTCGGGTACAATTAAAATAGCAGTTTCATCTCCCACCACTTCAGAAAACACTTCGGATGCTGTGGTTAAAGTGGGAACTGAGTCTATCGTCTCAGCAGTCAGAGTCTCCATCGTAAGGGTCTGCAAACTGGCACTGATATCAATACCAGGTGCCGCGATGTCTGTTTCAGAGGCACCTGTTGTTAGGAAATAGGATCTAGGCATCGGCTGGCTCTGGTGCAGAGCGGATAACGAAGTCACGGCGTCAGCTGTGTGCACGCCAGACAAATCCCTCACCGTGGTGCTGAAAATGGAGCCAGGTTGTGTGGTGATAGCAAATGTGGAGGGAATTGGGGTTGCTACTGAAGAATAGACGACACCATTCGATGACCTCAGAACGCTCCCCACACCATACTGGGATCCTGGAGGTGGAGTCATTCTTGCTGTGGAATACTGTGGGGTACTAATCCCAACTTCTGAAATGACTTGCCGTGTTTCTGGATAGGGACCTGTGGTCTTGCTTGAATAATCCATTACCTCACCTGAAACACAGGGTAGAGTTACAGTCTGGTTCCCAGAACGAATGATGCTTTTTGGGTTTGAAAGCCCTCTCAATCTTGACGAACATAATGAATGGGACGGCATGCAAATCCACAGGTTAACCTAATCAGATGCGGAATAAAAGCGATGTTGATCATGCAGGCACATGCAGGCGATGCTGGGCAGAAAAAATTAAAAAAAAAAAAAAACACGAAGAAATGAAAGTGCACATGGACTCCAAAATATGTTGCCAAAACATCCAAAGCAAGAGAAAAGGTAACAAAATTGGAAAAGGGACCACATCTTTCATCCTGAAATGAGATGAGGGACACCATAACGACATTTCAAGGAAAGGTCTGTTGCCACATCATACTGACCTGTAGTACTTCTCCCTGAAGTCAGATCTACTGCTGCATCAGTGCCTCCGGAATAATCAAAAGCATTTTTACTTTTATAGAAAAAATGTCCAGCTTCCGCTAAATTAGTGTCGGACATGGAAGGTTTCATTCCCCCAATCCCTCTATAACCATAGGGCCCTGATCGATAGTACTGATAGTGGTCATCCCTATAGCCAAAACGATCCTCAGGAAGAGTAGTGGCAGGCTGCTGTGCCGTGCAGCTCCTTCCGAAGGGTAACTTGTAAACCATATCACAGCACACAGCTCTTCTTCCTGCAGTCAGATCAACAGGCTTGTCATCATCTTCCACTATCTTGGTCACCACACCCGAAGTGGATTCGTCCATTGTCACAACTGTTCTGTGCGACTTTGTTGTACTGAGGTCCACCACCTCCCCATCAGGGATGCCCTGCAATGTGATGCTATCAGTCCATCCATTTGTGACACCAGCAGGAGGCACAGTGACAGGTTTTGGAAGAGCTGAAGTCACCGGGTGTGCCGAAGGGCCTAAAGATAAGTTTATCGGCGCGTCCTCCCTAGCAGCAGGGAAGGCCTGGCCACTTGGCATCTTGTACGTGGGCTCAGCGGGCTTTGATGTCGTGAGCTGGAGCGGTGCAGTCGTCCCACGTTCTAGGCCCACCAGGCTTTCCGCGGCCACAGCGTGACTTGAACCAGCAGTGCCCGCGACCACGGTCGCGGACTCTGCGAGCAGGGCCATCGGCGTCGCTGCTGACGGAGTTGTGCTGAGATTTATAACGGAGGGCTGGACAGCACTAATCTGCCTGCCATAAACGTCACTTGCGGCGCTCTGCCTCTTCAGATCTACGGTGGCAGCGGAAAGATCCACACCCTTGTCAGGCACCTGCACCTCTCCTTTTGGTACCGTTCGCAAATCAATGGCATCGCCCACAAGCTGCACCTTCCCGTTTTCCTTAGGCTGACGCTTGTCGAGAGCAAGAGGCTCTGGGGAAACTGAGATCGGGACACTGCTGAGACCAACACCGGGGACTGCACTTCTGGCTGCTGAAACCTCGGCCTGAGAAACTTCAGCTGTGAAAAACTGTGTCTCCGAGGTTGGGGCTGCTTGAAATGAAGACAAGGTTGTGACCGGGAGAGCAGACAATGTCCCCAGAGATCCTGAGAGGTACAAGCTTGGTGCTGCAGAACTGGGCATTCCCGCCGTGGTCAGAGGAGGAACTAAAGAAAACACTGGTTCGATGGAAATCAGGTCTTTGGGGGGTGACCCCAGGGGCCAACTGGTGATTGCCTGACTGGCTGAAGAATCTGTTGGAGTCCCGGGTTCAGATGGCAACGTGATAACCACATAGGTTTCCATGAGGGATTTGGAAAATCTCGGGGAGGACTTGTTAGAGTGAGGGGAAAGTGGGGATGTAGGGGAAGGTAATTTATAATCTGCTGAAGTCACTAAATTTAGTGTCATATTTGAAGTTAAAGATAGACCTGCCGGTTTGGGGTGTGTATCTGCTGGTTTTTGTGTCGTTACTGGAAGCTGAGGAACTGCTGGTTTGGGGGCAATTGGAGGTTTACTTGGCTCAGGTCTGTGTGTAAACACAAGGCCAGACGGGATGGAAGATGGTTTAGGAGGAACAGGAGGAGGTGCAGGGGTACATATTTTTGTTATGGGTAACCCACTACCTCTTGGAATGGCCGCGGCCTCTGCTGCAGTAACAACATCAGCTGGCGGTGTAGCTGTAGGAGTTAGAGTCACCGGAGCTGTAGCGATTACCTTTTTTTTAGGATGAACAGCTGGTTTAGGTGAGGTTGGTGGAGGAAGGGGTGGAGGAGGAGGAGGAGGGGGTGGGGGAGGAGGTGGAGGGGGCGGGGGAGGAGGTGGAGGAGGTTGGGCTGATGCATCCACAGAAGAACTTCTAAAGAATGGACGAGTTTTAGTCGGAAGAGAGCTAACAGAAGGGCTGCCAGATGGCAAGGGAGGTGCAGGTTTAGCTTGATCAAAGACCTGTCCAGACAGCAAGCGTGTCGCTGGAACCTGCTCCTCCACTGCAATAGCAGGAGAAGGAGGCTGATCAAACCCGGTTTCAGATAAGCCAATTTTTGTGGGTTCAACCTCAGACTTCTCCCTTTTATCTCTGTAAGCTTCCAAAACGTCAAGAATAATTCCATTCCCGGTGTCCTTCTTGGCTTTCTTCACTGGGTCTTTTTCAGATGTAGATAAGTCAGTGGAAATAGTGTCAGCAATGAGCCCCTCGGGTTCAGTTCCTACAGGTTCGAGAGACGGTCCCATATCAGATAAGGAAATCACGATATGATCAGCACTCGCTCTTCCATCCGGTAGGGCAGTCCGAGCTAAAGATATACTTATTTCTTCCGGATAGTCGATAATGCTGCCAGGAAAATATGTTGATGAAGAAATCTCAGAATCTTCAAACTTAGTCACCATGTCCACAGGCTCCGCATAAACTGTGGTTATACTATCCAAGGTAGTGATGGGTGAGGAGCTATCTGTGGTACAAACTGAAGACACAGATGATGTGAGAGAGGGTGTGTCGGAGGGCGGGACAGATGTGGCACTTTCTGAAGGCTCGGAGTAGGTCAAAATCAGTGACTCATGGGCAATTATCTCTTGAATCTCCCTCGTATAATCAGTTACATATTCATCCTCAATTTCTTCTGTTGAAAAATGTTGGGTTATTTTGACATCGGGGATGGAGAGCGTTGCGCTGCTGGTGGAATCTGTGAGAGATGCTCCCGAGAGAACACTTGATGTCAAAGAAGCATCGGGCATCCTGTCAAAGTCCACAGTAGATTCTGTGATGTCATCCGTGATGGGGGCTGGGATGGACCGGACCCAGGTGGGAACTGCATCTGCTGCTGCCTCTTCATGAGCTCTTCATAGGCAGCATCGGCATCTAGTAACTTCTTTTCTTCACTGGTGGAAGTTACCATACTACCCAGATCCACTATCTCGTGGCTTTCTGGGATGATGTAAGAGCTTGAAACGATGTCTTCTTGAGGCACAAGAGAATGTAAGCTTTCCAATTCGTAAAACTCTTTCTGGAGGTCTGTTATTTTTTGCATAGGATCTTCATAAATCTGTTCCGGAATCCTTACTTTTTGCTCTTTCCCTCTCTGTTGCAGAAAGCCGTTTTCGTCGTCTTGCCTCGTTAGTAGGCCTCCATCTACCGAACCATTATATGTGTCCTCCACTAGAGATTCGTAAATATAGTCCTCTATTAACATTCCTCCATACAAAGGCTCTTTTTCAAACATTTCATCTCGTTCCGTTGCAGCTGGAAAAGCCTTGTACTTGTGGGTTTTGTGCATCATTTCTTCATACATCTCCTCAGCACTTTTTAATGCCTTTTGGCCGTCTTCTCTCTGCATGAGACACTGCTCATCGGTTGGGGAGTACAAAGACACAGCTGTGGGCAATTTATACACTTTCTGGACTTCTATTATTTTCTCTGGGCTTATTTCAAAACCTTCCGGGTCTGACTCTATGCTAGGTGAGTATTCGGAACAAGAGGACCGATGGAGCTCCTCCATCTCTGCGGCCTGACGTAACTCTTCTGTGGGAGATGCGTCTTCAATGGGAGAGAGGTTACTGGGTGGGGTCTTTGGTCTCTCCCTCCTCCTCTGAGCTCGAAGTTCATCTTTGTCTTTCTTTGATTTCTTACTAGAAGTCTTTCTTTGTTGCTGTTCCAATTCCCGCTGCTTTTCTTGCTCCTTCAGCAGCTCTTCCTCCTCTCTCAGCTCTTCCTCCTCTGAGGAGTCCTCGATGGTGGGCAGAAGGGGGCCGTGCGACCTGTGCCGAGCTTTCCGTTGCTGCTTGCTCTCTCCCTTTTTGTGGCTCGGGCTACTATCACTGTCCTCATCAAGGGAGGACACCGACGTCGGGGATGTGCCGGGAGTGAAGCTGGAAGCGTGAAGGCTGGAGGACCCTTCCCCCCGTGACCTGTCTTCTGGAGAGTCCGTCAGGCTCTCCATTTCCAGTTCTGGCTCCTCATCGAAGTCCAACACTGTGGCTCTGCGCGCGGGCTCCGGGCCGTAGCGCTCCGCCGTCGCGCTGTTCAGCTCTATGGTTTTGAAGCGCCGAAGACCGCCTCCTCCGGCCACGATGAGCTCGTCGCTGTCCTGACTCGTGGTCTCTCTGTACCTCGGCTCGGGGCTGTCGTCGAACATGTCATCGTCGTCATCGTGCCACGAGTGGCGTCGTCCCGCATCGCCGTCGAGGCTTGCGGCGCTCCTGCGGCTGGCTCGCCGGTGCTTGCCCGCGGCCGCCCTCGCCTTGCCCCTGGGCTCTTCCCTCGGGCGGCCGTCAGCGCTGCGCACGTCCGGGAGGTGGCTGCCGGGGGGTTCGTCGCCCTCAGACCCCGAGGCGTCCTCGTCGGCGCTCGCGTCCGCGGCTGGTTCACCTCCCAGGCCGCCGTCGTCCCCGGAGCCCGGGCTGTCCTCCCGCCTACCATCCTCGCTGCTGGATGAGCCTGCGCCGGCCCCGCGCTCTCTCGGGGGCCCCGGGGGCTTCTCGCTGTCGCTGTGGCCCTCCGCGCACTCGGGGGGCGGCCTTAGGGGCCGCGCGGCCCCGACCCACGCCAACTGCCCTCCATAGTCCTGCGTGGAGGGCACGTCCCGGCGGCCGTCCTGCGTGGAAGGGACATCCCGGCGCCCATCCTGCGTGGAAGGGACATCTCGGAGACCGTCCTGCGTGGAAGGGACGTGTCGGAGACCGTCCTGCATGGACGGGACGTCCCGTCGACCGTCCTGCGTGGAAGGCATGTCCCGTCGACCGTCCTGCGTGGAAGGGACGTCCCGGCGGTCGTCCTGCATGGAAGGGACATCTTGGCGGCCGTCCTGCGTGGAAGGCACGTCCTGGCGGCCGTCCTGCGTGGAAGGCTCCCCTTCCCCCGCGCGCCTCGCCAACTCCTGTCCCGCCGCCGGGGTCTCCGCCCGGGAACCCACGGGCAGCCCGCAACAAACCTCCGGAGGCTGGCTGTTCCCGTGGGGCTTCTCCGCCACGAGGGTGCTTGCCTGAGCCTCCAGAAGGGAGAGGACCGTGCTCTCTAACTTAGCCAAGTCTGAGGGGCTGGAGGGGCTGCTTTCTTGGGAAAAAGAGTCCTTTTTGAGAACCTTGTGCAAATCTTTTTCGTCACTTGGAATAAGACTTGGAATTTCACCAAGTGAACTTGATATCCCATCAGAAGAGTATCCTGTGTCACTCAGACCTTGCGGGCTTTTTGGTTGCTGAGAACTTGAAGTGTCTGATTTGTCATCTTCCTTTTCCTAGCAGGGAGGAAAAGATACAGGAAAACTTAAAATGATTAAACTAGTAACAGGGCCTCTCTATTACTCCCAAATAACTGCTATGAACTGAGGAGTAATACTAGCATTTTTCTTTCAACTGTATGCCAGTAATTTTTTTAGATCTTTGGCTACAAAAAAATGAAAATAGTTGATATGTATTAAGGTTAGTTTACATTTAATCTAAGTTTAATGAAATGCCCATTCTCAACGACATTTGTTTTTTTTCCACTAACACTCTATTTATATTTCAATTCCATTTTCTTTCAAACACGTGATTATTTTTCTCAGTACATTTATTTGGGGAGAGAGTTACAAATTGTCAAGAAATTACAGTTTTCATTAATATAATCAATACTTTTGAGTTATGGGGACAAGCAAAGAAAGAAAAAAAAATCAGAGGATGGGCTTTGTACCTGGCTATAAGTTGTAAGAGATGTTGGAAATTTTACTGAACAGAAATATGCAGGTGATATGACCATAATGATATCTGCCTCAACAATCACAAAAAAAAAAATTCTTTGAGAGAGAGAGATTTAAATATGGCACTACCTTTTAAGGACACTTTAAAAAACGTTAAGACATTATATTCACTTGCTATTGTTGTTAATATTATTATCCTGTATCATTTGAAGTGAATGTTTAGAAATTTTGAAAAAGTTTACAATTATTACTAATAGTTATTGCTAATAATTAATGACTTTTAAAAAGTTATGCAATAACTAGTCTGACTCATGGCTTTAGATAAAGAAAAATATCCAGCTATTATTTTTGTAGTGTTTTTAATCTCATTTATCTTTAGCATCATACCTCAAAGCTATTTAATAAATATCATCTATATAAATGTCTTCTGATTGTGAAAATACTTGAACTTTTACCTTTAAACTGTGTCAAAGTCACAGCCTTTCAACCAGTATAATAACTAACTTTGGTAAATGGGATCATGGGCTTTCCAAGGAGCTGGGATACTATGCAGACAAATCATAGCTTTGACCTGCTGCTTTTCTTGGGCTGTGATGAGGCCATGCCAGCAATTTGGTTCAAGAATCAGAGCAACCTTAAATGAAAATATTAAACATAGAGACTTTTTGCCTAAGTCCAAATTAAAAATACACATGAGCAAGATGAAACTCAACTAATCCAATTGGTTTCCATGCTTAGAGTATTAAACTAACCCCACAGCCCTATGGAATGAAGAGGTCAGAAATCAAGGTACAGGAGGACATTCGCTATCAGACCCTGGCCTATGAAGCCACCTCAATTCCACTAAATCTGTATCTTGAACTAACCACCTCAATTATTTTCAGTGGGTTTGTAAGCACGGGCTCCTCCAACCCCCTGGTAACCCAAATGATCAGATAGGTGTCAGGCTGAACAACAAACAACACATACAAAAACCTTTCTTCCTTCTTTCTCTCCTTCTCCGCCTCCTCTTTCCTCTTTCTTCTCCTTCTCCCCTTCCTTCTCCTTTTCCTTCTTTTAGCTATGGAGTTCTCCAGTACAGAAGCTGTTGGTTTGATAGTCAGTTTACATATGTTCATTTCAATATCTGTTGGTTAGAGATGTATCTTTTTTTAAAGACTTTATTTATTCACGAGAGACGTAGAGAGAGAGGCAGAGACACAGGCAGAGGGAGAAGCACGGAGCCTGTTGTGGGACTCAAACCCAGGAACCTGGGATCACGACCTGAGCCAAAGGCAGACAGACGCTCAACCACCGAGCCACCCAGGTGCCCCTAGAGATGTATCTTGAATGCATTATATGGTAAAAATGCTCTGGCCAAATTTACAACACGACACAATTCAAATTCAAAAAGACAGTGATATATTATTCACAACTTCAGTGCAAAAAACAGTATGTATTCTCTGGTCTATCATGAACTAACTTCCCTGGGTCATTTCACATGTCTCCCCAGGGAAAAGTTACTTATCAGCAGTTGTAAGCCTTTAATGGTAGGGCTGATGAGCACCCAATTAGTTTTGGTTCTTTTGTCTTAAGATCTGCACATTAAAGAGGTAGGCACAGGTGAAGCAAACTAATAAATTCTTTCTAGACAGTCCAAGTGAAGGGATATTTCTATCTCCTCACGTCCACATGATGATGAGCACAATTTTTTTTAGTCCACTATGCTTTCTGTCTTCCTTATCTGCCTGCCCATCCTTCGCTACTTCACAGCAAACACCACGAGAGGGGTGGGGGACCTAAGCTCCTTGTTAAAAAAAGTAAAAAAAAAAGACCTTTCATAATCAAATTGTGAAGGTGTCATTTGTATTCTTTATTTTGTGTCTGCATATGTTATAAACAGAACAATGTAATAAATTATCCACATATGGAGGAAATGTAACCACTGGTACATATAACAATTGAGTATAATAAAAGAAATCATAGTTTGATACAATGAATTCTACAAGTTCTACATTTTACAAAAATACGATTAGGACCAGACATATAATGGAACAAAGGAAATTAAGATACATTAGACAGGAGACTGATGCACATAAATATCAAAATACCTATCCTATAACCCCCTTCTGTGGCCTTTCTCCATGTCTTCATGTTTTCTTTCTTTCCTTAGGACCATGTGCTACCTCTTCTCCCTCCTGCTCCCATCTGGTCTCTTTCCTCCACATTCCTCAAAGGATTCAATCACTATTTATGTATGACGAAGCTGTGATGATTTCCCCTCTAAATACCTCTTCCTCCCCATATTACGAGGTAGCAAGAGGCTGCAAAGATTTTGCTCTATAGGCTTGTGGGTCTAAGATAAAATGTTTGGAGTGGCTAATAAGAAAATCAAGTTAGGTGACCAAAGGGTATTTGTCTGAACTGTTCAGGAGAAATAGTTGGTCATGTATTTATTGTACTATGGTAAATTGAAAAAATACATAATGTCAATTCTTCTCATACTAACTAGCACAGGTGTAAAAATCTCCTGCTAGAAGCGAGTGACCTGCTTCTTCATTACACTGTTAGCTGCTAACTACCAGATCATATACCAACCAAGCCCTTTGACTCTTTAAGGTTCATACAGATTCATCTTTTTATCTACCACTGCCACAATCGACAAAAGAAAAGGATTCCCGGGTAGCTCAGTGATTTAGTACCTGCCTTCAGCCCAGGGCGTGATCCTGGAGTCCTGGGATCGAGTCCCACATTGGGCTCCCTGCATGGAGCCTGCTTCTCTCTCTCTCTCTCTCTCTCTCTCTCTCTCTCTCTCTCATAAATAAATAAATAAATAAATAAATAAATAAATAAATAAATAAATAAATAAATAAAAATCTTAAAAAAAATCTGTTCTTCATATACAGAGACGAGCATACTGAGACACTCATCTGTGCAAGTACTCATTCCTCCTGTGGCTATCTACTTTCCTTTGGGAGCTTAGGTGAGCAGGATTTGTATCCACACAAGTTAACTGGCCTATATAGATTTAACACCGCATACTCCTTGCTTCATGGATGATTATATATATATATATATAATATATAGTATATATATTATATATATATATTAAATATATATATTTAACAAGGGGATAATTTGATCAAATTAGAGTAGATGGTACTGAGAAGAACATAAAACACAATGTATATGTCGGGTTTGGTTTTCTCTAATTATTTAATCTTCAAATGGCTGTCTGAAGTACTATGACTCTATAGGAATATGATCAAAGGCTTCATGAAAGGGAGGCATAATTTGGCTTATTTCCTTCCAAATTTTTGAGTCTCCAAGACCAAAAGATCGGGAGTTTTCTCCTAGTTGCTTCAAAAATGTATGGTTGTAAAAAAAAAAAAAAAGTTTGGTTTATACTTACTTCTGAGAAGAACATTAAACTACTTATGGTGCTATATTAAAATTTAATGAAATTAACAGATTCAAATAGTTCTTTCTAAATTACAAATATATTATATATAACACATATATACATGTATGTGTATAAACATCACTGAATTTTCTTATGTGTGCATTATTTTTTTATTCGAATAGATAATCAGAAGTTGAAAGTATCTATTTCATCCTTTACATGTGATAATACAATCTAGAATGACCTCTGGAATGATTACTTAAGAAGAAAATTCTACTTTTTACATGAGAATTTTGTTTGTCATCTTAGATAGAGGCAGTGAGAGGGAACACACATAATTTAAGCATACCTTTTTTTTTTTTAAACAGCAATGTCATTTTTCAGTTCCCCTGAGGAACACATTTTCTGTGCTCTCCCTAAGTACATTTAGCATTAGATCCTATTTCACTTACTTTTACTGTTACTGTTATTGCACTTTTCCTGTGTATAGAATTATGGTACTTGAGCTTTTCTACTCTGTATATATGAAACAATCACTCAAAATTTCCAGGGGCTAAGATAGATAGATAGATAATACATACATACATACATACATACATACATACATACATACTTTTATTATTATTTTTTTTTAACTTACTAACCAAAAGCAGAAAGTAGAGAATTTATTTTCCTCCCAGTATTCCACTGCCATTTGCTGGCCTGGAGACCAGTCAGGGAGAGGCAGTGATGATTTCAACCCATCTGAAACTCTTCTGATGGTGTCACACCTTGAAGCCTTCTCTAGTGATAGAGAATGTACCAAGACGCATCTGTACTGCCAACTCAGTTTGGCCTGTCTCTTAAACGCTGAAATGTTTAGCCTTCCTTATTGAAGGTAAATGGAAGTTTTCTGAATATTATTCAGGTTAAGAATCAAATTTTTGATTAAACTTAAGATTGTACAAAGAAAGGATGCAATATTGCTTAATTTTCCCAAGCTATTTATTTCAATGGGCCAAAGTAAAACAATAAGTGAATGATCTTTACCCATGTATACAATGTTAGGGTCAAAACTGACCTAGTCTGCTAGTCTGACTGTTCCAAACACTCTAAATTAAAGATTAAGTCCATAATATTCACTGGACTGGAGAGAAAAATCAAATATTCTCATCTACAACATGGGAATCCTTTACAC